AAAAAAAAAAAAAAAAGTAATTTCCCCAAAGGCAAAGACAGTGATGAGCAACTGCTATGCCACAGAGTACCGGCGCTTAGCTTGGGTTGGGAATCTGAGGATTAAACGAGTCTTTCGGTACCTGCCGCCGCCTGGGCTCTGCGTGCTGTTTAAACTGGTGTAAGCAGTAGCACCTACAGTATCTGCTTCCTGTACCCTCCCTTTGGCGCGGAGAGAACCCCACCCAAGATGATGAAGGAGCATCTCTGCAGTGTGTATCCGTCCTAGCCGTGTTCAGCGTTACTCCAGCTGTAGCGCTTAGGTGGGCGGCCCGTCTGTAACTTACCCGTCTTTCTAGATTCTGTACATCCTTTACGTATTTTATCGTTACATATTTTAATGGCAGTTTTTGTTGCTACCGGTCTAGAGTGTTTTCTTTGCTTGTAGCTTTCACCTACCAACACCCCGGTAGACAAAGTAGTACGGAAATACCGGTAAGCCAGGAGAAAAGGAAGGAACGTACAAAGACTTCAGATACAGTATGGTATCGGTTTTTCAGGGGTTCCAGATCTTAGAGGCGTTTAGAGTAGCACATGCTTAACAATGGCAGTATTTCTATTCTCTTCTAAAGGTGAAGTACTGGCTTGGGTCCTGAGAGTAATTAAAGGTTACCAGTTCACTTTGCCAAGGAGTATTAGCAACCGGAACTGATGAAATACAGGTGTAGTTCCTGACTTTTAAAAGGCCACAGTGGTAGGAAGAGGGTCTATATACTTTTTTCTTTTTTTTTTTAATTTATATTTTCATCTTTTGAGGGCATATGAAAGAGGAAAAGGGAAGGACTGTGTGGCCAGTCTTTGTTATTTTGACTCCACCTTATCTGTTTTTAAGCCTCTCTGAAGACTGTCTAGTCCCAAATCTGAAGACCTGAGAGAGTGCCGCTGGGAAGGGCTAGCAAGAAACAGTATGGAAAGCAGAAGTTCCCTCAGATGAAGTTACACTGTGACTGGAAGAACAAAACCCTCAAGAAGATGTGTCAAGGGCTGGTGGGATAGCTCGGTGAGAGCTCAGGAGCTTGCTCGCATGCAGGAGGCCCTGGGTCCATCCTCATCACCACAAAAGATAAAAAAAAAAAAAAAAAGCAGGGTGTGGTGGTGCTTGCCTGTAATTCCAGCACTCTGGGAGGCTGAGGCAGGAGGATCAAAAGTTTGAGCCCAACCTGGGCAACTTAGAGACTGACTGAGACCCTGTGTCAAAATAAAAAAAGGACTGAGGGTGTAGCTCAATGTGAAGGCCCTGGGTTCAGTTCCCAGTGCCACAAACACTGATAAAAGGCACAGCTGGGATGGAACTCCCAGTATGCATGCAGTCTTAGATTCAGTCCCCAGCACTCCATAAACTAATGAGTCAATTAATTAGAAGACAGAGCAGTTGATTTTTGCCTCATTTACCCTCTGTCTTCAGCAGCGGCGGTGAACCTATGGCGCTCATGCCACAGTGGGCTGTTTGTGTCGTGGAAAGCTCTGAAAGGTTTGCCCCCACTGAGCCTATATAATACTGCCCTTATTTTGGGCCTCCTCTCCTTTTTAAGCATGGACTCCAAAGCCCAAGGTAAATAATGCCCTACGTTGGGCCTCAGATCTTGTGTCTGTAAAAGAAGGTTGGTATCCTTTTTTTTTTTTTTGGTACTGGGAATCAAACTCAGGACCTTGTACTTTCCAGGCAGGTGCTGCTCCTCTGAGCTATATCCCCAGCTCCGGAGATTGATATTCTTTATGAAACTCAATTTGGTAATACCAGGTTGAAAAGGGGAGGGGACTCCTTAAACCTCAAAGTTAAATATTTCCTAAGAGGAAAACCAGTCACCCCGGTAGCACCCTGTGCTTCCTGCTTCAAACCCTGAAAAGGCAGAGAAAGAGGCGGCAACCCTGGGTCTGCCTGGAGAACTCTGTGTTAATTCAGACAAGATACTCTGAGAGCAGACACAGGGACAGGCAAACAGTGAATCTGAAGCAGTACCCAGAGGTGCAGCCTGGATAAGGGGACACGGCCTGGAGTGAAGGGCGCTTGCCCAGCTCTGTCAGCCAGAGCCAGAGTTCTTGAGTCTTGGGAGGTTATGGAAGGCAGGGTAAAGAGGGCGAAAGCTACAGTAAAAAGAGAAAGTTTCCTGGAGCACTTCAAGTTTTCTGTAAGCAGTTGGATATAACCCTTTGACTAATGTCCCAAAAAGCCCAATGTGTCAAATGTCAAGTACCTCGGATGGACCAGGGGCAGGGGCATAACAAGTCTTGATCGCTCCCTTTTGGAGCCAGCATTCTAGCCGTATGATTTCACTTCATTTCTTCAGCACTTTAAGCAAGTGTTAGTATCCCAATTTGTACGTGTGCCGTGATGCTGGGGATCAGACCCAGACCATACAGGAACTCTACCGCTCACTCTTCAGCCCTAGTATCCCAGTTTTTTTTTGTTTTTTTTTTTTTTTTGTTTTTTTCTGGTACCGGGAATTGAACTCATGACCTTGCACTTGCCAGGCAGGTGCTGTGCCACTGAGCTAAATCCCCAGATAGTATCCCAGTTTTAGAAACGAGGAAACAAGTTTGCAAAAAGATTGGTACACGGCAGAACTATTATTGAAACCCAGGTGTCCTGCCTTTGACTCGTAACCTCAGGCTGTAACCTCAGGCTGCTGCTTTTGCAGCATGGCTGATAAGCCGGCCTGACATCTGTGCCTCCCTGCTTCCTGCTGATCCTCTCTCAGAAGCAGCAGGGCTGGCAGTGGAAACACTTTTCGCTCTGAAGAGCTGGGAATGAATATCTGGTGTCTGTTAAACCCAAGAAGGATGAACCATTCTTTCTGTTCTGTTTGCTGCTTCCCACCCAAACTCATCAAGATACTGGGTTCAGACCAGCTTTACTGTATCTTTACGGTATGCTACAGCTTCACGTTTCAAACTATTGCTTTTACCTTCTGTTTCTGGTTTCGCCGTGGCAGACCTCTCAGATCTCCCCTGAGCTGGGGCATTGTTTACTGCTTCTTTGTTGGTCTTTGCCTCGGTTGACTTTTATTCAACTTGTGTCCCAGAGGGTTTAATTCACCAAATATTTACAGAAGATTCCTTTGTTCAGGCGGCTGGATTGAACCCAGGAGGGAGTTTAGAGATGAATGAGAAGCAGTCTTACCTGCCAGAAGCTTACAATCTAGTAAAATAAAGTAAAAAATAAGTGACCTGAGAGATAGGGACATCTGTGGGAAATCAGAGGACAGAAGGATTTAGGGAGGGCTGAGCGGGGTTGACAGTGGAGACTGAGTTTGAAATAGGAGTTGTGCATGATTAGGAGTTTCTCAGGCAGGTGAGAGTGCAGAGAGGAAGGCCGGCAGGTGCGGCAGGAGGGAGGGGAGGCGGCTGCAGATGCCCTCAGGCCGACTGAGAACCGCAGGGGCACAGGGCGTGGTTGGAGAAACGGCTGGACAAAGTAACTCGAGGACTTAGTAAGGAAGGCCTACTTCAGCACACGGCCTACGTATTTTTATATAACCACAGTAGAGTTACCACACCTAAGAAAAAATTGACAATATTCCATAATATCTAATATCCAGGCCCTATTCAGATTCCCCCAATTAAGAGAATTATCTAAAATGTAATAACAGATTATAGGGAAGGATCCTGGTGAGGAACTGTAAGCTACCACAAATGTGTGCAGTAATTTTTAAAAGAACCCAAGCTACAGAAAAATTAAAAGAATAGGTCAGCGAACACTGCAATATTGTCCACTCAGATTCACCCAGTGCTAGCCCTTTGTCACATTTACTTTATAGCCTTCGCTCTTGCTCTTTCTTTCTAAATATCTAATTCTAATTTGTTAGTTGCCAGGCCAGGTAAACAGAGGCAGAATTTGAAGGCAGGACTTTAGGAATTGGCATTATGTTCATTTTCAATAGGAAGCAATCCAAAAATAGAATTGATTTATTCTTTCAGCAAACATTTGTTGAGCATTTGTATGGTCTGTTCCCTTAAAGGTTTCTCCCTGAGGAGAAGCACCTAGACCTGTGATGGCAAATCTTGTAGAGATGAGTGGCCCAAACTGCAACCCAGAATCCACTTACTGATCACAAAGTGCCAACACAGCAGTTAAATCTGAGTACTGAGGTTTTAGTTTAGAAAAGGCAACTCATACATCCACATCTTTTGTCTTAAAAGAAGAACAGGGGCCGGGGATATAGCTCAGTGGCACAGCGCCTGCCTGGCAAGCACAGGGTCCTGAGTTTGATCCCTGGTACCAAAAAAAGAAAAAGAACAAATAACACATGCCGTGGATTCACCAACACTGGCCTAGAATATAGTATAAGTGTGTCTGACTCGCAGACCTGTTGTTCACAGCAGCAAACGATTTTGCGCCCAGAATCCTGAGCTGTCTTTCCAGAGTGTTAACATTGGTTTTTTCACTCTTTACAGTTGAAGATAGGAAGGTTTTCTCACTACACACCCTCCAAGCCTTTTAATCTTGAGCCTTTTCGGGGTTGGAAATATTGGCCTGCCCTAGCCATTCCCTATGCTGACTCTAGACTGGGTTAGTTTTCTCTTTATGTTTTTCACCCTCTCCACCTAAGAAGAACCAGGCTGTGGGCAAAGGAAGGGAGTGGTATAAAAAGGAAGTAAGAACTGTACTTAGCACTAAACAAGGTGGTTTTGCAACTTTCTGGTTGAAGACAGTGTTTTGTCAGGGGAGAGGGTGGAGCCAGGGAAGATGGCAGGTTCTGCACATGCTCAGAGGTGGTGGTAAGTGAGGTGGAGTTAGAGATAGACACAAACAGGCACATCTGAACTGAAAAGGAAATACAGGCGTTCATAAGCAAAGGGGTAAAACTAAACATAATGATAGCAGGTATGTATTGAGCGCTCACTGGAGGGCAGCACTGAGAAAGCAGTTTAATGCATAGTTTCATTGGTCCTTCCAACAACTGCAGAAAATAAATACATCTTAATGGGGGAAAGAAAACCATAAACTTGTGCTCAAAAGTCCTTTTTGTTGTTGTTGTTGTTGTTGTTGTTTTGTTTTTTTGAGACAGGATCTTGCAATGTAGTTCAGGATGGCCTTGAACTTACTCTGTACCCCAGGCTGGCCGCAAACCCATGGCAATCCTCCTGCCTCAGCCTCCCGAGTGCTAGGATTACAGGTGTGTGCCACCACGCCTAGTGCTCAAAAGAATTTTAAGTGATTTGCCTGACAGCTCATAGCCAGTGGGTAGAAAAGCCAAGGTGAGACCTCATGTGTTAGTCAGCTTTCTCTTGCTGTGACAAAATACCTGAGAGAAATAACTTGAACAAAAGAAAGATTAATTTTGACTTGTGGTTTCAGAGGTTTCAGTCCATGGTGGTTTGGCTGTGTTGTTTCTGGGCCTGTGGTGAGTCAGAACATCATTTGGCAGGGAATATGTTAGATCAAGGCTGCTCACCTTATGGTGGGGGAGGAGAAGGGAATGAGGGAAGAAGGAAAAGGGGGAGGAGGAAGGGAAGGAGGGAGAGAGGGACAGAGGAGGAAATATGAATAGAATGTCCACCCAAGGGACCAGGGTCCCATCATACCCTTCAAGTCACTCTCCCAGTTACCTGCTTTGTCTAACTATGCCCACCTCCTAAAGTCTCCACCGCCTACGTAGCACCGCTGGCTTAGGACCAAGCCTTCAGCACGTGAGCCTTTAGGGAACATCCCAGATCCAAACCGTAACGGTTAGTGTGTGACTTCAATGCCCTTGGTATTAACTACTACAGAGAGAGCTCTGAAAGTGAGAGATATTGCCCCTGCCTCATAGTAAGATTGGAGACACTTAGAGGCTCCACATACAGCCTTCTCACTCCCCAGACTTGGGGAGGTTTTTTTTCCCTCCCCAGTACTGGGGATTTAACTCAGGGCCTCACACGGAGCTGCACCTTAGCCCTTTATTTTTGAGACAGAGTCTCCCTAAGTTGTTCAGGCGGACCTTAAATTTGCAACCCTCCTGCCTCAGCCTCCTGAGTAGCTGGGATTATAGGCATGCACCATCATGCCTGGCTTTAAGTTTTCTGAGATCGGATGAGATCAGGCTTATTCAGGGTGGTATGGCCATAGACCTGGCCTTAAGTTTTAATTTGTACAAATTCTCAGTTCTTTCTTTTTTTTTTAAGTGCATATCAGTTATATACAATATTGAGTTTAACTGTGGAATTTTCATACATGCATAAACACACTTTGCTGGTGTCACCCCACATTACCTTCCTCTGCCCTCCCCCTCCCTTCTCCCCAATAGTCTTCCTTTTGTCTAGTAGTCTCCTTTCTATTTTCACATCCAGATCTGGGCAGCCTCGGGTGTGATTCAGAGCCCTTCATCATGAGGCTGTGTTCTCACTGTCTAACTCCTTCCCCACTACTATCCATTAAACACCCTAAGTAAGCCGGGCCAGACCATCTCAGGAAGCTTCTGTAAAGTTACATACTCCCTCAACTCTGCTGATGCTCTTGTCTGCCTGGAATCCTCTTTCCACTCTCACTGTATTTTTTTTTTCCACTCTGTATTTCAGGCTATCAAAGTTCTACTTCCAGGACCAGCCCATGATCCTTCCCTGTATCAGTCTCACTCTCCTTCCTGTTAAAATGACCCAGCATCCATTGGGTGGATACCGAGAAATCTAAATAAGTAGAACAAGTACTCAAGCTGTGAGGACGCTCAGTTTAGGAGAAGACACAGACAAAGAAATACAAGTAATTAAACAGTAACAGGAATGTAGGGGGAGGTCAGGGGTTGTGAGCACTGAGGAGGGAGGGGCTAACTTGATCAGTGGGATGAGGTAGGTGTGATGCATGTTATAATGGGTCTGCAGTATGAACTGGGTTTTTTAAGACAGTTGTGTGGCAGACAAGGGCGTTCCAGAAGGAAAGAATAGAATCTGTCACAAGTAATAATCTGGTTTCTTCGGAAAACTAAAAACCGTCATGGAGAGGGACCTGCGGGGAGAAGGAGTAGTGAGACCTGACCTAAGGGAGGGTCGGATTACTGGGGCCTTTACGCATGTCAGAGTGTGAACTGTCACTTAGTGGATACATAACGGGCATTTAGTAAAAGGTTATTGACTGAGTTAATGAGGACCCATTAGGTAGGTAAGCAGCACCATAGCAGACCTGTCGCAGCAGGCCAGGCAGGAAACGGTGAGCACGGGACTGAGGCTGTGGCAGTGAGGCCAGAGAGCGCGGGATGGCTTCCAGAGGCGGACACGGGGTGAGGGAGAAGTAGCTGAAGGCAACTCCGGACGTTCTGATTGGGCCTGGGAAAGTGACGGTGCTTCCTTCCAAGGCGGGGACTCCAGCAGGAGACTCGGGGTGTTCTCACCTCGTGGAATCACTGTTACAAGTGTGTGTCCCTTCGAAGGGCGGTCTTTCGCATGGCCACCTGTTGCATTGCCATGGATACTTGAGAGGGTGGTCGGCACGTTTCCTAGTTAAGAGGCGGGAGATGGGTAGCATTCATTTCTAGCTGAGTCTCAGGTGTGTATCAGGGCTGCAGAAGGTCCCACAGGGCACGGTGAGAGCAGAATCGCCTGCCTGCCTCTCTGACCTCATCTCTCAGGAGGGCTGTGTGGCTACAGCTAGAGGAGGGTCTCTCAAGTAAAAGGTGTATTCGAGGTTCATGTTTTATCTTAAAAGCCGTGCACATTTTGCATGCTTCTGGTTAGTCCTTGTTTTAACGTAATGCCTTCCTCCTTCCACCTTAAAAAAGAGAACATTTTAGCCAAGCCCAGTGGCACAGGCCTGCAGTCTCAGCATTCTGGAGGCTGAGGCAGGAGGATGCTAAGTGTAAGCCCAACCTGGGCAAGTGGATTTAGTAAGACCCTCTCTCAAAAAACAGTGAGGGGGCTGGGGATTAACTCAGTGCAGAGGTCCTGGGTTCAATCCTCAGTGCCCCCACACACAAGTTTTTATATGATGCTGGTGAAGTAGTTCAGTGGTAGAGCGCCTCCCTAACCTGCAAGAGGCCATGTGTTCAGTACTTAACCTCACAATAAATAAATACACACACACACTTTATGGCTGAGGTATAGCTCAAGTAGAGCATGTGTTTTGCTTGTGCAAGGCCCTAAATTCAATCCCTAGCAGCACCAAAAACAAACAGATGAAAAACCACTTTCCTTTCTTTCATTCATTCGTTTGTTTATATATTGGTTTTTTTGAAACAAGGTCTTGTCTATGTAGTTTTTTTCTGTGTAGTTCAGGCTGGCCTTGAATTCACTATGTAGCCTCGGCTGGCCTTGAACTCATTGCATCCTCCTGCCTCAGCCTCCCAAGTGCTGGGATTGCAGACATGCACCACCACACCCAGCTGATAAATACTGATGTATATAACCTGTAGCACACTACCCTATATCCATAGGCCCCAATTTGAGAAGAGCCACAAAATTTTGTCAGCAGTATATTATATTACTAATTCTGTTGGGCTGATAGGAATATGAACCTTTAGTTGCAGCTACTGTAATGCTCAGGAGCCAGGGGATATGTGGCCAGCAGTTGAGAGATTTGGCTGTAACTTCACGGGCCTTTCTGTCTTATGTCCCCAGGTACTGCAGAAATTGGGGAAAACCGTAGAAACCAAAGATGAACGATTTGAACAAAGTGCTGGCAACTTCTACCAACAACAGGTAACCTGGAGGGCGGGGAAGGGCAGAAGGGTGGCAGAAAGAAGGCATAGCGCTGCGTGGCAGAAGAGCAGAGGTGCTGCACACCAGGCATCCTTACCAACCCATCCTCTCCCAGCACTCAGAGCCACAAGGTGACCTGCTGCTTGTCCTTCCTCCGGGAACCAGACACTTCCTTTTCCTCTTCCTACTAACGCGGGGTTTGGCGGGACAGAGGAGTGTTCTTTTCTCTTAGTGATTCCCCCCAGGACTGCCAGGGTTCCGTGGCATCAGCAAGTCCTTAAACAGCATGGAAGTGAGCCCTGGCTACCTCAATTGTGGTGTATACACCTTCCCAAGGTGCCGCTCCTCTTCTAGGTCTCCTCTCTTCTCAGGTGTCCCATAATGTCCTTGTTGCTTTTATGGCCATGACATCTGCCCCACCTGAGCCCTTTTTCCACAGCAGTTCCTCCATCTTTTACTGGACATTTCCACCAGCAAACCTCTCATTCTCACTGTTCCTTTTATTTCAACAGGATGTTGAGGATTATTTCATACCAAAAGTTTACATTAAGAAGTGCATAGCCTGATGTGCCTGCAATCCCAGCAGTGTGGAAGGCCCAGGCAGGAGGATAGCAAGTTCAAGCCCAGCCTTGGCAACTTAGCAACTGAGTAGGAACCTGTCTCAGAATAAAAAGTAAAATAAGATCCGGGAATATAGCTGTGTGAAGGCCCTGGGTTCATTCCCTAGTATTGGAAAAAAGAAAGAAAAAGTGCATTAAAGTTTAACCTCCAGGAGACATTTGACTTACTTTTTAATTTTCCCCTTGGTAGTGAGGATTGTGCCCAGGGCCGTTGCACCAGACTACATACATAGCCATTTTTAATTTTTTTCTTTTAGACAAGGGTCTTGTTAAATCACCACATTGCCCAGGCTGGGCTTGAACTTGCAGTCCTCCTTCCTCAGCCCCCAGAGTGCTGGGGTTACAGGCATGTGCCACCATGCCAGGTTCCATCCACCACGTGCAGGACATTGTGTTTAGTGCTTGTAATCTCATTTATGTTTATATCCGCATTGGAATTGTTGTCCCTTTATAGTAGAAGGAAGTTATTCATTAAAATGACTGCCTAGTTGCAGTATAGTTCTGACACTACCCAGAGTAAGGCCAGATTTCACAGGTTAAGGGTGCATTCCCCCACAAGCCTGCCCTCACTTCAGACACCAGCCACAAGCTCCTGGGTTCCAGGCCACCTGGACTTCTCTTCAACTCTGAGAGGCTGAGGCAGGAGGATCACAAGATTATGCCCAGTTTTGGCAACTTAGCAACTGAGTAAAACCCTATCTGAACATAAAAATAAAAAAGGGCTGTGTGTGTAGCTCAGTGCAAAGGCCCTGGGTTTAATCCATAGTACCCTATCCTACCCCCCTCAAAAGCAATGTCTCTGGAAATAGGGCTTAAAATCTTACTCTTAAACTTTTTTTATGAGTCAGACCCTCACTTCAGGCTGGCCTTGAACTCAGTATGTAGCATGGGGTGGCTTTGAGCACAAAGCAGTTCTCCTGCCTCAGCCTCCAAGTGCTGGATTACAGTACTGTGCTACTACACACTGGCTTAAACCGGCTTCAACAGTTTTACTAGAAAATTTCAAATACAACAAAGGAAGAGAAATGGACGTAATGAATCCTCATGTACGAACACCCAGCTTCGGTAATTTATCAAATCGTGGGAAATCTCATTTCATCTATGCCTCTACTCACTTTTTTCCTGTCCATGATTTTTTTAAAAATTTGGCAGAAAAAATATTTTTTAACAATTTTTTATTAGTACATATTTGCAGTACAAAATGATTACCTTCCTCCTGGGAGCCGGTGCAGGTACAGGGCACATGTTAAAAATTCTTTCTCATCCCTTTCCTCTCCCTCCCCACCCCTCCCTCCATCCCTGGGATCCCTTCCCTTTCTTTCGTTCATGTTTGTAGTACATAGTGATCACGTTCTTCATGGAGAGTTGGTACACACACGCACACGCACACGCTCACACAATTCTTTTCTTTAAAAAACCCAGTCCCTTCCCCTGCCTCCTGCCTTCCCCATCTTTTAGTCTCCTTTGCATATACAAAAGATCTATCTTGCTATTTCCTAGTATCTATCTTTTATTTTGCTCTTTATTTATATTTAGGGTTTCTCATGTAAGAGAAACCACGTAGCATTTTGGTTTTGGTTTTTTGTTCTTTTTGGAAACAGAGTCTCACTATGTAGTTTAGGCTGCCTTGAACTCACTATGTAGTCCAGGCTGACTTCTAGCTTGCGGTGATCCTCCCGCCTCAGCCTCCCGAGTACTGGGATAATAGGCACACGCCACACACCCAGCCGGTTGTTGATTCTTGATGTTACTTCTTACGTAGTTGCTGTTCTGTTCAGAAAGTTCTCACCTATGCCTATGTCTTCAGTAGTTTTACCTACTTTATCTTTCAGCAGGTTTCCGTTTTAATATGTAGATCTTTGATCTATTTTGATTTGTTTAGTAGATGGTAAGAGGTAAGAGCCTCCTTTCAATCTTCTGCCTGTGGATAGCCAGTTTTCCTGGTACCCTACCCTTGATTTTTATAGTTACCATTTCATTCATAAAATTTTCACTTTCCATCTCTAATGATTAAGATTGTTAAAATGTAACCACGATACCTGAAAATGTTTTTCTATGCAAACACTTCTTACTACAACAAAGCAGAAAGTACATCAAGAAAAAAGAGAAGCTTGGCTGGAGACATAGCTCAGTAGAGCAGAGAACTTGCTTAGCATATGGGAGAGGCCCTAGGTTAGATTCCTGATTGCAAAAAAAAAAAAGAAGAAAGAAAATGAACTTTAAAACAGTAATGAGTTCACACTTCCTAAGCTACAACCACTGTTGCCTTACATCCTTACAATTATTTTGTTATATATGTATATGATATCTAAATCTATTCAAAATAATTAATGTGAGATTTACTAAAGTGAGATAATGCCAGGCCTGTTTTTTGTTTTGTTTTAAACTGGGATTGCAGGCAAGTGATTAAAGTTATTTTTAAAGCCATGCATATGGTTTTGCAACTTGCTTTATTTTTTAATTTTAATTTTAATTTTTTTAAGACAGGGTCTCACTAATTCAGGCTGGCCTTGAACTCACTATGTAGCCCAGGCTCATCTCAAATTCCTAGTGATCCACCTGTCTCAGCCTCCCAAGTGCTGGAATTACAGGTGTGAACCACCATACCTAGCATTTTTTTCCCATTTAACAACATAACACAAGTATCTTTTTAGATATTCCAGATTATTCCACTAAAATGTAAGTTTCAGTTTTATCTAAAAAAATTTAGGGGCATTCTTTAATATAAAATATCCGATTAAGCCAGGCATGGTGGCACACAATGTAATCCCAGCTACTCTGTTAGGCAGAGGCAGGAGGACTATAAATTCAAGACCAGTCTGCAATTTAGTGAGACCTTGGTCTCAAAATAAAATTTAAGAAGGGCTGTGGATGTAACTCATTGGTAGAGTGCATTCCTAGCAGACATGAGTCCCAAGGTTCAGTTTGCAGTACTATGCACACATACACACAAAATTCCAATCAAGGAGGTGTTGCTCATTTGTACGGTACTTGCCTAGCATGTGCAAGGCCCTGGGTTCCATCCTTAGTACTGCAAGCAAAAAAACAAAACAAAAAAAAACTAATGTTCAAATTCCCCTGATTGAGTCATCAATTTTTAAAAACAGTTTAAATCAGCAATTTATTGATATATTTACATCTGGGTCTAAAGTTAAAGCTTTTTTTTTTTTTTAATTTTATTTTAAAGATAAAAGGAGGGAAACATTAACAGACATACAACATTTTACAACATATCACAAGCACAATACAGACAATACAGAGTTACAAACAAAGTGGTAGGGAATTAACAATGGTGGTTGTATTACATATTGATATCTTCAAAGTGGCTTCTCATGAAAACAGATATAGACATGCAATACTGGTAGTTAAAGCTTTTAGTCTATAGATTCTAATACCGCCCTAACTGCAGTTTATTTGTTGATGATACCAGACTGTTGGTACTGCAGTTCTCCGGTCTGTATCCTGCTGATTAAATCCTCATGATACTAACATCTTCTCGCTGCAGTTCTCCTTTACTTTCTGTAAACTGATAGATTTAGAGACTTGACGAAATTTCGGTTTTTTTGTTTGGGTGGCACGAGCACTTCACAGGTGTGACTGTATTTTTCCATCATGCGGCACATAGTATCCGGTTGTCCTCTTTCTTCTGTGTGATATTAACAGCCATCGGTGATCACTGCGTATGGAATCAACTTTTTATCAATAGTTTCTCCCATAACTTCCAACTTCCTAGCTTAGTTTTAAGGCCTTGCTCCTTTTCTGTGTACCTGGTCAATTTACCAAAGGTAAATTTTCTTTGAAGCTCTGTTTGTAGGAAGAATTATTTTCCTCAAGCAGCACTTTAATCTCTTACTTCTGGTACTGACGGCTGCTTCTATCTTTTTATTGCCTTTAATATCAAATCTAAAGTCTAGTTTCATCTTTCCCTCCCGAATCTCCATTGCAGCATTTGATTCGGGGTTTGATCGCACTGTTTTTGTGTGTTTTGCTGAGTGGGTTTCTCTGAGTCCATTTTTCTCTAGCAAGTAGGGAACCTCGGGACAAGGACCTTCTTCCCTATCCCGAGTACCTGGTTTCTCAGGATCTAGCTCTTTCTGCTTATGGCAGAGTTCCACAGTCTGTGGCTCATTAGCTGAGGGCTGGGACTGTTTGTATAAGAGACAGGAAGGACTGACTCAAACTCTTTATGACAGTACCGAGAATTTGGCACGGTTTCAGAGAGCAGAAGTGATAAAATCATCAGATCTACAGCTAGGAATGGCCTTACCCTGTGTTTATAGAGCAGGTGAGGAAACTGAAGCCAGGCTAGTGGAATAACTTGCTAGGTGAGAGTAGAGCCAGGTTGCTTGACTCACAGCCAAGAGTCCCTAAGACCGAGTGTCCCATGTGTCAGGAAAGGAGAAGGTGCTGGGCTTGGTCTGGAGCCTTTTCAGGTCAGAGAAGTAAAGCGATAACCAGTGCTGTCCCGTCTCCCTCGGCCTCCCCTCCTCCCACAGTTACCGCCCCGCGTGCATTCCCCGTACCTCATGGTGGTGGGCTTTGTGAGGTGCAGTGGCAGGAAGAAGGCACTCGTGTTTTCTAACTATGGCACAGAAGAGTACAAAATAAATAAAACAAACAAAATAAAATCTCCAGGATTTTTCAAAGCTCTTCAGAAGCGTTATTATCACAATTTAAAAACTCACAAACAAACTCTTGTTTGTTTGTTTAATTTGGCTTTTTGAGAGGGTTTCACTATGTAGTTCAGTCTGGTATTGAACTCACTATGCAGCCCAGGCTGGCTTTGAACTCATAGCAGTCCTCCTGCCTCAGCCTCCCAAATGTTGGGATTACAGGCGTGTACCACCATAGCCGGCTGCATATCCATGTTTTGTTTTGTTTTGCTTTGTTTTGAGACAGAGTCTCGCCATGTAGTGCAGGCTGGCCTTGAACTTGCTTATGTAGCCCAGGCTGGCCTCAAACTCATGGTAGCGATTCTCCTGCCTCAGCCTCCCAAGTGCTGGGATTACAGGTAGGCACCACCACATCTGGCTGCATATCCATGTTTAAAAGACATTGTATACAATGTTACTTAACACTTTAGACTCTGGAAACTTTTTTATGCGAATAAAAAACCAAGAAGGAAGTGAGACATCATTTTTGGTGATTCCCATTTCTGAATTTTGTAAACTGTCTCCATTATACTATTGAAAATACTTTCTCAATATCACTAGTGACCTCCAGTTACCCAGCCCAGTGGCTTTACTGACTTTTCCTGCATTTGGACCTCTGTGTAGCATCAGACTCTTTGCTGGTCATTTGTCCTATGTTCTCGTGATCCTCACTTCCTGCGATGCACTGCACGATCCCACTTCTCCGGGCCCCGACAGTGCTTTCAGCTCCTTTGAGGCTATCTGCGCCCTTGTGGCCCTTCAGCGTGGCTTTCGGCCAGACGGACTTTCAACCTGAATTATGGCCAGAAATTTGCATTGGCTTCGAAGAGAACTCTGCAGGCAAGAGGACAGTTGGAACAATTAGCCCAGTTTCCGTGTTCATTTGACCAAGCAGACATAGGTTCTGTGCTACTAACATTAAGTAATAGTGACCTTTCTCCCAGGGACAATTTTTAAATCATTAGATACAATTTTCCAAATTTTCTTTTTTTTTTCTCTCAAACTTCTTTATACTTTTGATATGATTAATAGCCTATGTAGTAGTGAAAAAGTTCACAAAAAGTATAGCATTTCATAGTTTACTGTGTAATACACCTTGTTTTCCAGTGCTCCATCCCCTGAACTGGTCTGTTCTGACCAAAGCAAGCTCTGTAGAGCACCCTATGAGAAAAAATACTGCTGAAAGTTGTCTTCAAATATGTGTGGGGACAGAAGACTAACCCAAGACTGGTGGGCAAAAGTTCTAATGGAGCTATTTAAAAATGAACTTGTAGGGCCAGGGATTTAGCTCAGTGGCATAAACGCCTGCCTGGCAAGCGCAAGGTTCTGAGTTCAATTCCTGGTACAAAAAAAAAAAAAAGTTGTAGCTGGGTGTTGTGCTGCATACTTGTAATCCTAGTCCTCGGGAGGCTGGGAAAGGAGGAGCGTGCACTACGCAGCAAGACCCCATCTCAAAAGAAATGAACAAACGAAGCAAGCGCTTCTCAGGCAGTAGGTTACTAGTTTCTGTTCCTGGAGGTGTTTAAGAAGCAAAAGCTAAAGCAACAAACATCAGTTATAATAAAAGCATCTCACTGTCAGGTGGCGGTATCTAGGTGATGCCTTCCTCTCATTCTGCCACTTGTTTTCTGTTTTATTTTTTTGAGACAGGGCCTTATTTTGTTACCAGTACTGGCCTCAGACTTTTGGGCTCACCTGATCTTCCTGCCTCAGAGCCTGGGACTGCAGGGGTACCATGCCCAACTCCCCTCTCTTTTAGAAAGAAGAGACCAGTTCTGCATTTGGGTACTCTGGCCAAAAGAAGGATGAGAATTCAGACACAAGAGCAAAGGCAGAAGCAGGACTAGATCGGTAGAACTATCAAGGAAGACACTGGGTTGAACAGAAGGAGAATCAGTGACGAGGCTTACTGGAGAAGTATCGGCAGGCGAAGGGGAAGCCAGGCAAAAGACGGCAGGGCGGACAGGAGAGTCTGCGTGAGCAGCCGCAGGGGAAAGTGGCCTGGAGTCTGCGGGAGATGGCAGGTCCACCCTGAGAGCAGAGTGTGAGCCAGAGGGTCTCGAAGCTCAGTGGGGGCGAAATTCTGGCACACGTGCCGCACAGGCTGCTTGTATGACTGAAAGCTCTGGCAGGCTGCCGTGACTGACGTGGATAGTATCACGCAGAAGACACTGAAATTCCAACAGGAGCGCTCGGGTGTAAGCTCCTGTTCAGTGGGAGGGAGGGCAGGCAAGGGAGAAGGCGTGCCAGTGCGCTGAGACTTCGAGCCGGCCTGCAACTTCTTTGGTAGATTAATTTATATCTTTTTGTTTCTTTTTGTTTTTTGGTACTGGGAATCAAACTCAGGGCCTCGCCAGGCAAGTGCTGTATTACTGAGCTAAACCATAGTCCTAAAGATTAATTTATAATAATTGCGAATATTTCAGAAAATACCAGGAGTGAGTTATGTATTTCATGTACTTTTCAACTTTGACCTCTAGAGTGTCTTTTAAAATATATCTCTTTAGGGCTGGGGATATAGCTCAGTGGCCTAAGCACCTGCCTGGCAAGGGCAAGGTCCTGAGTTCCATCCCCGGTACCACAAAAAAAAAGCCAGGCGTGGTGGCTTGCACCTGTAATCCCAGCACTTGGGAGGCTGAGGCAGGAGGATTGCTATAAGTTTGAGGATTGCTATAAGGTTGAGGATTTGCTATAAGTTTGTAGCTTGGGCTACAAAGTGAGTTCAAGGCCAGACTGAACTGCAAGACCCTGTCTCAAAAAGACAAAATTTTTTTTTAAAAAAGATAAAATAAAATAAAATAAATAAATAAAATATCTCTTTAGTCATGAAAGCTGCTTTCCCCTTTCAGGCAGAAGGCCACAAGCTGTACAAGGACCTGAAGAACTTCCTTAGTGCAGTCAAAGGTGGGTACTATAGCATAGGAAAATCCAGAGGGCATTTCTGCAGATGCCAAGAGGTCTGAGGGAAGAAAAATCAACCAGCCCAGGTACTTTAGCACTTGTTTGCCCTTGGCTCCTGAACTCTCTGGGCCTAAGAGGAACGACATTTCCTCTCACAGCCCTGTCCAGCTTCCCTCACTATGTACCCTTCTGAGTTCGTGCTTCTAAGCCACTGATTTGTCACCCATGAGATTACATCCGATTACCTTTTGGAAAACTTGATGGTAGGACTGAGTTCTCCCTTGCAGTGATGCACGAAAGTTCGAAGAGAGTGTCAGAGACGCTGCAGGAGATCTACAGCAGCGAGTGGGATGGGCAGGAGGAGCTGAAGGCCATCGTCGGGGTAAGGGGAGCCTGGCTTTGCGACTCTTCAGTACGAAGTGCACTCATCTTGACCTCACCTGAGCTTCTCTGTCCAAGAAGATAGGGAGAGGATCTAGTTCACATTGTCCACTTGAATAGCCGCAAGTCACTGGGTGGTAGGAAAAAGTTGCAACGTGAAGATAAAAATAAGTTGTCCCTTACTTGTAGATTTCCCTGGTTTTGACCCTCTTCCCCTCTTTAACACTTTATGAAAGTTTTACCTCTGAAGATTGGTTGTTTTTGTGGGTTTTGTTTTTTGTGGGGGTTTTTGTTTTTTTGGTTTTTTGAGATGGGCATTCACTATGTAGTCCAAACTGGCCTTGAACTCACTATGTAGCCCAGGCTGACCTCAGACTCGCAGTGACCCTCCTGCTTCTGCCTCCTGAGAGCTGGGATTACAGGCGTGTGCTACTGTACCTGGCCAAGATCGGTCGTTTTTGGACACTAACCTTATTCAGTTAGTTACTCCCAAACTTCCCTACATTCTAAGCTCTGGAGTCCAGAGCTCTGACCATATGTTCCTGTTCTTCACCCCTAAATGTATGGCCCTAGTCTCCTTTAGGGCAGTTCCTTGGGGCAGGGCTGTCTCTTTTCTCCTTGCAACTCTTCCCCAGAATCCAGTAAGGTATTCTAAGTACAGCACTGCTAAAAAAGTTTTTTCTGCAGGGAGAACGAGGGTTTTCCCTGGGAGGCAGTTCTTGAGAAGTGAAGTCCTCACCAGCCTCTGCCTCTGTCCCACAGAATAATGATCTCCTTTGGGAAGACTACGAAGAGAAATTGGCTGACCAGGCGTTGAGGACCATGGAAAACTATGTAGCTCAGTTCAGCGAGATTAAGGTACTTGATTTATAGAACGGAGACTAGGTTGTATATGACCCATACCAGTTCAAAAACATATTCAGGTTAAACACTGTAGGTAGCCCAAGAGCCCAAGGTTAGAAATGAAGTTACATAGGTTAGGAAAAGGATTAAGGTTGAGAATTAGAAGAAAGTTAGAATGGAAGGTTTTGTTTTGTTTTGTTTTGTTTTTGTTTTTTTGTGCCAGGAATCAAACTCAGGACTTCATGCTTGCTAGGCAGGCGCCATACCACTGAGCTATATCCCTGGCCATGGAATGTTAAAGGTAGCATGAAAGTGATTTTTTTTTGAGACATGGTCTCCCCATACAATTTAGGCTGTCCTTGAACTCACTGTGTAGCCCAGGCCAGCTTCAAACTCACAGCAATCCTCCTGCCTCATCCTCCTGAGTGCTGGGATTACAGGCATGCAGCACCACGCCTGACCTGAAAGTGATGTTTAAATTTAGATTTCAGTGAGCTACCTTTGGGCTCAGTGGATCAGTGAATAAAATCCAGGTCAGGGCATCCCTTTTAGATGTGAGAAACAGCTCATGGGGAGAAAGGTAGACGAGGAAACTTCAAATACTTGAAGCTCTGTTAGATGAAGAGGAGCTCACCTGTTCTGAGTTGCTCTAGAAGGCAGGGTTAGAATTTAGCTGTTTATTCAATGACATTTGTGAACATCTTATCTACTGGGCATGGTGCTTACCTGTTTCTTACCTTGAATACTGTAGAGGAGCTTCATGTGTCCTATAGGAAGCTGAACAAGGTATCACTAAGATCTTTGCACATCCTGTGAGGAGATGAGGTAGGCCAATGACAGATTTACCTCTCCCTGATAGCATCTGTAATTGGGATGAAATTGAGTAGATTTTCTCTCACTGATCATTGTACTTTAATTCTCGAGCACTTTATATTCAGCATTTGATCTGTAAAGTAATGCTTGTTGAGGAAGCGGGTAGGTGAGGCTACTGGAGCTCCAAAAGAGATGTGTGGGGGGAAAGAAGAGGTATATGCCTTGCATAGGCCACAAGGCTGATGAATGGCAGATTTGGGATGAAGACCCAAAACTGCTTTTAATTTAGTGGTATTCCAGGGGGTTTCTCATAGAAGCAGAACCAGTTTACGGTGGATTCCTAGGGGACAGTTCTGTAGAACTGCCCCTTACTGTCTCCCTGAGAATCTTTATTCTTCTGAGACAGTAAGGGGGTCCCTGGGGCACCAAACCATATTAAGAAGTGAAATTTGATAATAGGACCCCAAAATCTTGCCTCTCTGCTTAATATTCTGTTACCTACATCCTGGCCACTGAAAAGTGAATATCCACGCCCTTTCTCTTCACCCTGGGTTAGGAGAGAATTGCCAAGCGGGGTCGGAAACTTGTGGACTATGACAGTGCCCGACACCACCTGGAGGCAGTGCAGAATGCTAAGAAGAAAGATGAAGCCAAGATTAACAAGGTGAAAACACACACACACACACACACACACACACACACACACACACACACAAGTAAAACATTCCTGCTCTTCCTTGCCCTAGAGAGGTGCCAGGTGGCTGGACCAAGATGGGTATAAGAAACGATAAAGTCAACATCTGATGCCGAAAGGAAATGCTGGGGGGTTTCTGAGACTCATGCTGTAGGGGCGGGCAGGGTCTTGAGGTTGGGAGGGCATGGGTCTGGAGAAGGAAGGAGAGGAGAGGAGAGTCAGCCTCCAAATAAGCCTAGGCCCTGACAAAATGCAGGGGATAAAGGAGCCTGTAGCCATGGATTCAGGATTAAGTGGGGTTGTCTTGTCTCCTGTACCTAGGCAGAGGAAGAGTTCAACAAAGCCCAGCTGGTGTTTGAAGATCTGAACCAGGAGCTATTGGAGGAACTGCCTGTTCTTTATAACAGGTAACAGCTGAGATTCAGCAAAGTGCTACCCTCCTGGACCAGTGGAGGCCAGGGCCACCTGGCAACCCAAATATGCCGTCTTATGAAAAGCGCCTTGGTCCAGGAATAGGACGTAGCCTCTGCACTGCCACTAACTTGCTCTGTGATATTAGGCGAGACACCTTATCTCTTTAGAGCCTGCTTTCTTCACCTGTAATTCAGAGATAACCATCCTTGCCCTGCCAGATTTTCTGGGTTTGAAGACAAGATGCTTCTTGGCAAGGAGATCTTGACAAACTGTCGACATGAACACCATCAGGACCTGATTTCATGTTCAAGTGTGCACTGTTTTAAATAAGTTTAGTTCATATAAACACCCAGATTTACACAGATGAGTCACGCGGTGATCACCTGCATGACTGATGTTGTCACTGCTGAACAGGGAAGCGTTGCAGATGCAAACTGTGCACACTAGAAGAGAAATCTGGGCGTAACTCCATCCGTGTCTTACTTCCACTGGATATGTTTTAATGCAGTTAGAGTCAGAGTACATTGTTAAAGTTAATCCACATTTTATAGCCTTTTTCATGACTACTGATATTCTGAAACATTAATTATATGATTCAAGTTTGATTCAGTTTCTTTTTTTCTCTTTTAATTCAGTTTCTTTAAATGTAAACTTTCCCAACTCATTTACTGGAGAATTCCATTAAGGTGCATACAGACACAGAAATCCTACATTGTACAGAGTAACTACTTCTTATAATACTTATAATGATATGGCCTTATATTTAAAAGATTTTTTTCAGAGCACTTTCCTGTCTACTTTAATACTTCAGGAGGGCTGGGCTGTAGCTCAGTGATAGCATGCTTGCCTAGCGTGCACAAGGCCCTGGGTTAAATCTCCAGTACCCCATCAAAAGGATGGGAGAGCTGGTCTAGAAACACCTTAAACTCACATAACTTTGTGAGCCAGAGATATCTGTCCAACCCTGGTGTCAGTCTGTCTTCACTGTCTCCTCTGGCTTTCATGTTCCTAAGAGTCAGGCATGTGTCTGGCCCAGCTCTGGTGAATCCAGAACCAGGAACATCCAAGTCTGGGGTGATAGGTGCCTTTTTCTGAGGGGTCTGGTGGTGGCTAGTTTTGACTTAGCTCCTATTTTGTATTTCACATAGAGGCCTTTTTTGCTAACCCTTACCTTGTGTGTGTTTCTTGTTTTACTTCCTAATAGTCGTATTGGCTGTTATGTGACCGTCTTCCAAAATATTTCCAACCTGAGGGATGTCTTCTACAGAGAGATGAGCAAGGTGAGAATCAAGGGGCTAACTGAGACTTAAATAGGTTTTTTAGTGACTATAAAAGTTGCCCTGATTCGTGGTGGCACACGCCTGTAATCCCAGCACTCGGAAGGCTGAGGCAGGAGGATCATTGTGAGTTTGAGACCAGCCTGGGCTACAAAGTGAGCTCAAGGCCAGCCTGAACTGCATAGTGAAACCCTGTTTCAAAAAGACCAAAAAAAAAAAGTTGCCCTGATTTACATAATTTATTTATACCTCCATACTGGCACCACAGACTTTGACTTTTACCTCATTATGAATAACAGTACTTAATTGACTGGGTTGAACTTTATTCAAACATTATATATCTGTCTGCCTAGCAAGCGCAAGGTCGTGAGTTCGGTTCCCGGTACCGGAGAAAAACCAAACAACCAAAAAACAAACAAACAAACATTATATATCTATATTTTATATACATATAAATTATGATATTTTTTATGTATGGGGGTAAGAAACACCACCAAAAAAATGTATACACACTTGAGTAGTTCCCCTAATAAATGTCTGGAAGCAAATGGCCACTACTTTGCACAACTCTTGTAATTGTAGAGGCCAAGGGTAACTTGTATTAATTTCATGATGTCTCAGTAAATGTAGTATGAAAATATTCATACAAGTTTTTCTTTTCCTGACGTATACTTTTTTGGGCATACTCTGATACATTGAGGTCTGTATATTCTTCTCAGAGGGCCCTTTCCGTCTCCCTTAACAACTAAGAGCATCTAAACTCAAGCTTCAGAATGAACAAAGAGGCTAGGCCTTGAAAGGAGCAATTAAAATGGGGAACCACACTGTAAAACCTGTTTCTGCTGAGGACTGGATAAGGCAGTGTTCAAGCACAAGTCAGTTTCGCAGGTTGTTGGTCTTGAATAGGCCTGACCTGTCAGTGACGGGCAGCCACAGAACATGACCTCCCAAGGTCTTTTCTGCTCTGGGATTCCAAGATTCTTTGCTATTATGGTATTGTATTCACACACAGCCACACATGTTGCCCTCCACAATTTCTTTCGCTAAGTTGTTATTTGCCTAGTTAACACTAAGTTGGGTTTTCATTCTCTGGATCACCTGAGAAGAGGTAGAATGTCAGATTAAACAGTTACAGGGGTTGGGGGTTTAGCTCAGGGGCACAGCTCCTGACTGGCAAGTGTAAGGTCGTGAGTTCGATTCCCGGTACCGGAAAAAAACCCCAAAATACGAAAACAAAACAAACACAAAAAACAGTTATGGACGCAGCGTGAGAAAGCTGCCAGTCTGACACCAAGAAACAAGGAAGAAGGAGTAGTGGGACAGAATACTGGGTGCTGGTCCATGAGAGATGAGGAGGAATTACTGATCAGAGCGGAAGCGTGGGCCGTTTTTATTCTGGGAAGCTGTCTTAAGGTTGGGCTCCCATGTGGCTAGCCACCCTTTCTTTCTTTCTTTCCGGCTCTAGCTGAACCATAGTCTCTACGAGGTGATGAGTAAGCTGGAGAAGCAGCATTCCAACAAAGTCTTTGTGGTGAAGGGAATGCAAAGGTGAGCGACGTCCGAGAGTCTGTCTGCTTCATTTGCCCTGTGCCCGAGCATACTCAACGTTCTGGTCTCCAAATCAAATTCCCGGCCTTCCACCAGGCATGGTGGCCTGTGCCTACAGTGGCAGCACTCGGGAGTCTGAGGCAGGAGGACTGCCATGAGTTCAAGGCCAGCCTGGGCTACATAGTGAGTTCAAGGCCAGTCTGAACTGCATAGTGAGACTCTGTCTCAAAAAAAAAAAAAAAAAATCCTGGGCTTTTCTTTATGACCATGATGTTGTTTGCACTATGTCCCTATATATTTTTCTTTTTCATTAAGTATTTCAGATATAACTCAAGGCATAAAGAATAATATAACAAAATGGCCATATACCTACCACCAAACTTTGGTGTGGTTTGTTTGAGACAAGCCCTTGCTATGTAGCCCAGGCTGGCCTCTAACTCATGATCCCCTTGCTCAGCCTCCCAAGTGCTGGGATTACAGGCGTGCAGCACTGTACTTGGCTCTAAACAATTTAAATCAACTTTTTCTTTCAGAGAAAAGGTTCTCTATGTAGTTCAGATTGGCCTTGGATTGACTATGTAGCCCAGGCTGGTCTTAAACTCTCACCAATCCTCCTGCCTCAGCCTCCCAAGTGCTGGGATTACAGGAGTACACCACCATGCCCGGCTTGAATGAACTAGTATAAAAATAGTTGAAGCATCCAGTGTCCCTTTCCCATTTACTTTCTGTTCCTGCCCTCACCAAATTTAGCCACTATAATAAGTCCCATGTTGTTTCCTTGTATGTTTTTTTAATTTACATTTCACACATATATTCACACATAAAACATTGTTTTGCATTGTCTTTTATCTCTATATAGATGGATTTATACTGCATGTATTCATATTCTTCTACAGTTTTGTTTTGTCTTTTGTTTTTTAAGATGGAGGTCTCTATTGCCCAGACTGGTCTTGAACTCCTGGGCTGAACTGGCCTTCCTATCTCACTGTCCTGAGTACTGGGACTATGGTGCATCTTCTTTTATTCTCTTAGTGTTGTTTGAGGGCATTTATCCTTGTTGCTACATGTTGCTAGCTTTGCTACTAGTTTCTGTTGTTATTTGATTTTAGGGTTGTTTGTTTTGGTTTGGTTTTTGAGACAGGGTCTTGCTTTGTAGTCCAGGCTGGCCCTGAACTCACTGTGTAGCATAAGTTGGTCTCGAAGTTAAAGCAATCCTCCTGCCTCAGCCTCCTGAGTGCTGGGATTACAGATGTGCACCACCACCTCCAGCTTCATAACTTATTGATGCTATTGGATGCCAAGTTCATGACTTCTTTATCTCCTTGCTAGTTAGCATTTGGGTTATTTTCCAGTTTTTCGCTATACAAAAATGTTGCAGTAAACGTACATTTCTCCTTGTGAATATTATCAAGAGTTTAAGATCTAGAATTGTTGAGTCACGGAGTCTGTCATTGGAGCTTCTTCAGCCTTACTAGCTAACTCCAAACTGCTCTCCAAAGTGACTGCTACATTGTACAACCTATGAGGGGTGAATATAAGCCCCAGTGGCGCAACATTCTTACTGCAGATGAAATTGTCAGACTTAATTCTCTTCAGCTCATGGGTACGCAGTGGAGTTATGGGCAGTTTTAAGTCACAATTTCACAATTGCTAGTTACCTTGGGCATCTTTTCATGTACTGACTATATAAAGTTCCTACTTTTTTACTTTCATAAATACAGAGTACTTTGCAATTGGGTTGCTAACCCTTTTTGAAAAGTTAATTTATATGAATTTTTGTAGGTATGTTCCAGATGCTAATCCTTTAATTTTATGCATTGTCGATATCTTTTCCCAATCTGTTATGGCTTACTTTCGTGTGTGTGTGTGTGGGGGGTATATTTTGCCTTCATACATTCTTCCTACTGAAAAGCATAAGCAATTCATTGGTCCCTCAGAATGTGATCATTTGCCAATTCTGAAACCTTTGTTTAGGAAGTTTTATTAAGCTCATTCTGTACACAAAATTTTATACCAGGTGCTAGTGATCCAGAGACTTAGGAAACCTGGCCTTGCCCTAATGTGATTTACAAGAGGTTCAAAAAGCCAGGCATACAGGTAATCCCAGCACTCAGGCTGAGGCAAGAGGATTGCAAGTTCAAATCTAGCCTGGGCAATTTAGTGAGACCCTGCCTCAAAAAAATTAAAAAGGCCTTGCTTCATAGTGAAGGTACTGGGTTCAATCCCCGAGTACTGAAAAAAAAAAAAGTTGGAAGTATAGAAGCTATGTCAGCTGGGCATGGTGGGGCACACCTATAATCCTAGCCCTCCAGAGGCTGAGGCAGCAGAATCATTTCAAGTTTGAGGCCAGCCTGAGCTACAAAGTGAGCTCAAGGCCAGCCTGAACTGCATAGTGAGACCCTCTCTCAAAAAGACCAAAAAAAAAAGCTTTTAATTAATAATGCTGTTGCTCCTGCCTGACAAGCACAAGGTCCTGAGTTCGATTCGTAGTACAAAAAAAAATAATTGTTGTTGCCGGGCGTGGTGACACACACCTGTAATCTCAGTACTTGGGAGGCTGAAGCAAGAGGATCACTGCAAGTTCGAGGCCAGCCTGGGCTGCATAGCAAGACCCTGTCTCAAAAAAACAAAAAATAGGAATGATGATGATGATGATGATGATCTTGACGATGACGATGCTGTTGCTTCCTTAATGTGGAACTCAAAATCATGAGCACTGTAACTCACGCCTGGATGAGGTTTTGTCTAACAAATGTATTGTCTGTATAAGGCATATCACTTCAGCTTGGGGCCCATGTTAAATAGCAAAGTCTCCAATAAAAAAGAAGATAAGAATCCAAAAAACTTGGTGAGAGGGCACTTGTTTAAGTATGAGAGCTGAAACAGAAAGGCAGGTCATTGGCCTCTTTGCCCTCAGCTGAGAGAGTGTACTGGAGATGAACCATTTTTTATCATTGGCACATGTCCACAGTGACTGGGAGAGCACCAGGAGTGCTGAGGCTGAGGTTAAAATAAGTAGGTGTCTCAGTTACTTTTTCTCGTTGCTGAAACAAAATATCTGACACCCCAAGTTAAAGGAGGAAAGGTTTATTTAGCTCACAGTTTGTAGAGGTTTCAGTTCATAGCTGGCTCCAAGGCAGGGTGGCATGGCAGAGGGGTACTGCAGAGGAGAAAGAGTTCATGGTCGGTGGAAGGCAGCCAGTAAACAACAGCCCTCTTTCTGTCCCTTATATTCTGTCCAGGCTACCTGCCCTTAGCGGGTAGCGCTCACACCCAGAGTGGGCCGTCCCATTATCCACATTCGGTGGACTGCTTTAGTAATCACAAACTCTTTTTTTTTTTTTTTAAGTAATCACAAACTCTTGATCGCAGCATCACACACTCTCTGAAAAGCTCTCCCTATGACTGCATGAGGCTTTGGGGGGACATCTAGGTACAAACCATAGCAGTAGGTGAATGTATAGATACAAAAACTGCATGCACCAACTGTGTAGCACCCATTAATCCTTTCCCCAGAAGAAATACTAGTATTTTGCTGTTTCTTTTCAATCTTTTCTTTACATACTTTTACATACTTGAGAATATCATAGATTAAATATTTTTTACACCACCTTGTAATACAATTACCAATTACACAAACCTAACATCCTTTTAAATTGCTTTATTCTGTTTTATTATTTTGTGTGAATGATAATTTTTGTTTTGTTTGCTTTTTATGATACTGGGGATGAAAAACAGGGCCTTCACACTGAACTACATCCCAGTCCCTTATTGATCGATTGATTGATTGATTGATTGAGATCGGCTCTCACAAGGCTGCTCAGCCTGGTCTTGACCTTTCGGTCCTCCTGCCCCCAACCTCCCAGAGCGCATGCGCACCACCGTGACCCGCTAGGATGCTCACTCCGGAAGTGTCGGGTACCTCCGGCTGCCGTCTTTCTGACCCTGAACGCCCTTCCTTTTTTAGCAGCAGCAGGCGCTCTTTAGTCATCTCTTCCCCGATTCGAACACCTGCCGCCTCCAGCCCTGTGACCTCACCTACCAGTCCCTCTGCAGTTTCCTTGACGAGCGAGAGTGGAGCAACTGAGGAGGAGCTGACACCTGATGCAGCCCAGGAAGATCATTCTGAGATTCCAGAAGAGTCCTTAAAAGATGAGGGAACGGAAGAGGAGGGGTCCGAAGCAAGCTCCTCTGAGGAGGAAGAGCCTCCGCCAGCCTGCAATGGCCCGACCCAGCCCGAGCCCTCTGCCCCCGCTGAGGGCAGCAAGTCCCCGGAGGAAGTTGCCCCTGGCTCCCCAGCTCCATCACCCGACGGAGTTCTGAGCGCCTCAGAGCAGTCTTCCTCCCTCCCAGAAATGACCCTGCGAGCCCGCGCCTCAAGCGAAGGATCTGAGCAACCAAAGAGAGCCTCTGTCCGGAGGACCTCGGGGCCCCCTAGCAGGCCTCCTCCTCCCAAAGCCCCTCCAAGCCCTAAGACCCTCTTGGGGACTGGGACTCCAAGTCCTGGGGCCTCCTTGGAGGCAGGTCCTAATCCAGAACCACCGGAGAAGCCACTGGAGTCTCCTGAGGCCAGAGAAGAGGAAGACACGCCCGAACAGGACCCAGAAGAACTTTGCAGTCCCTCCAGCTTGCATACTTCTCAGGTGAGAGTGGGTCCGGTTGGGTCTCATTCCCTTTATAGTCTCCATGTAGAATATCTTTACTGTGTCAAATTGCCCCATAGTTGATAAGATATTACATTACAGTCTCAAGGATATTTTGGACAATTTTTTTGTTTTGGTTCTGGGGACTGTTTACATCTTTAAAGAAACTAATTTTTAAAATTATTTATTTATTTTATTTTTTTGAAACAGGGTCTCCCTATGTGGTCCAGGCTGGCCTTGAACTCACTATGTAGCCCTGGCTACTCAAGCGATTTTCCTGTGTTAGCCCGAGTGCTGGGATTACAGGCGTGCGCCACCATGCCCGGCTCGTAGCAGCTAATTTAGTAATCTAATCTTAGAATAATTGACTTCTATAAAGTGTTTATCTGTAATATTATCATGAACAGATTCTTATTTATTTTCCTCCAAGTTTTGAAGTTCCCAGTATATACAACCTATAGCAGGCATCTAAAACTTTACCTTTTTTAGTAGGAGGAGTGGAGAGAACCTTCAGTTTATTTTACTTTTTTTTTTTTGTACCGGGAATTGAACTCAGGACCTTATGCTTGCCAGGCAGGCACTTGTGCCACTGAGCTGTATCCCTGGCCCAACCTTCAGTTTATTATACCTGTGACTGTGGCAAATAGACCCTGAGAAAAATGGCAGCAAATTTCTCATCACTTTCTTTAATGAGAGGGACCTAAAAGCAGGCACTCACAGAAGAATTTAAAGCATAAGGGATGCCATTTGAGAGATGAGACTACAGCTGAGAAAAATTGAGGCACTGATATAGCAGAGAGCAGCTAGTTCGCCGAAGGCTTTGGAAATCAGGTCATGTTCTAGTCAAGATACATGGAAAGGCTCTTCTTCAGAAAAGAGAGCTCTGACTTATTCTTTGAGACTTCAGAGCCCTACGTATAAAGTTAAAAAGATACGTTTTGTATCAAGAGGCACTACCTCTGTATAAAAAGAAGGAAAAATATTAAGAAAAATATATAAGGGTAATGGGGTACAAGGGAATTATAACAAAATGAGGAACTGAGGCTTGCCTAACATGCCCAAGGCCCTTGAATGGATTACTGGCACCACAAAAAAAAAAAAAAAAAAAAAAAAAAAAAAAAAAAAAAACAGGTTGTAAAAATAGGGTACAAGGCAGGTGTGATAGCACACACCTCTAATCCTAGCACTGAGGAGGCTGAGGCAGGAGGATCACCATGAGTTCAAGGCCAGCCTGCACTCCATAGTGAGACCTTGCCTCAGAAAAACAAAGAAACAAACAACAACAAAATATATATGTGTGTGTGTGTGTGTGTGTGTATATATATATATATATAGGATGCAAAAAATAGTTCTCCTTCCTTGATGTTAAGAGCTAAGGGCACAGTGCCTGCCTGGCAAATGTGAGTTCCTGAGTTCAACCCAATACCAAAAAAAAAAAAGAAAAGAGCACTAAGGAGTTACGATCTTTGTCAGGTACATGGTGGAGAGAATTTTGGTGGGATGTCTGACTAGATGGCAGCAGGAGTCACTGATTCAGAATACAGTCACTTAAATAGCTCCTGCTATGTGGCCGGCACTTTTCTAGGAGATGAGTTATAACAGTGAACAAAACAGAATTCCTTACCTTCCTGGAACTTACATTATGGTGGGAGAAGACAGACAAGAGTAAATAATTACAATCCAGTGAAAAGAGATATAAACAAAAATTAAGCGGGGGCTGAGCTGCACTTTTAAACAGCTGTCAAAGAAGCGGAGACCTAGTCAAGGAAGAAGGCCAGGACGTGAGCCATTGGGCGGCCGGGAGAAAAGCACCTGCTACCTCTTAGGTCAGACCACTCTCCTGCTGCTGCCTTTGCCCAACTGTAGGTTGGCCAGGCTACCTTGGGAGCCTCCTGCTCCCTGAAAGGAGCGACACAGAGGGCTTGAGGGTGGCACCCAGGTGTGGGCTTTCTGCTACATTGTTCGCTTTGATCTGCAGGGTTTCTCAGAGCCTGGAGATTCGAAGAAGGTGGGAGATGAAGAAAACAACAAGCTTCTCTCAGCGGACTCTCCTGAGGTATTAAAATCTGAGGCCTCGGGGCTGGGGATTTAGCTCATTGGCACAGCACCTGCCTGGCAAGCGCAACATCGTGAGTTTGATTCCCGGTACTGGAAAAAAAAAACAAAAAAACCAAACAAACAAAAATAAAATAAAATCTGAGGCCTCAACAATGTTATCCCCTCAGTCCTTCTTGGCTCACATGCAGTACTGAAGGCTCCAGCAAAAAGGTGCCCGTGGCTGGTTCTTCTCAGGGGCAGCGAAGCTGACTGTGAGATGTCTGGGGCCCGTGGACAGTGAAAAAGCAGTCCCGGAACACAGTTGATTGGTTAGCTGCAGCCCCAGCCCTGATTCGGGGTTTTGAGCAAGTGAAGTGTAGCCTCTTCTCATTTTTCTGCACTGAAAATACCTGTGAGCACATTCATAGCCTAGAAAGGAAGGAGGGGGTAAGAAGAAAGAGATTTTCCTTAAGTCATGAAATTTCAAGTGACTACCAGTGTTGGTAATTGGTTCTATTTTAAAAGGATACATTTTATAGTGTGTAAACTAAATTTTAATTAAAAGATATTTTAAAATTTTTTAAACCTTGCTAGTGTTAAAGTCTTTCCCTGGCATAGCAGTTCCTAAACAGGACACGCCGGAGGCTGAGGAAACCTTGGGTTCCATCTCAGGCCCTGTCGCTTATCCCAAAGAGACCATTATGCCATTTCCCTCTGAACCACTTAACCGTGGTTTAGGGTCACGTGTGTGGGAGAGCTGCAGTGCATTCCTGAGAAAGTCTAAAAACGGCAGGTAGTAGTTTTAAACCACACACACACAAGTATGTCCACATGTCACACACATCACATGATGTCTGTGCATGGAAACAACTCTGAATCTGAAGACCTCTTTTCCTGCCCTAGCAAGTCCTTTCACCCTTTTAATCTTGTTTGTTTCTTGTTGTGTTGTGTTTTGTTTTGTTTTTGAGACAGTGTTTCCCTATGTAGTTCAGGCAGGCCTTGAACTTACTATGTAGCCCAGGCTGGCTATGAACTCATAGTGATCCTCCTGCCTCAGCCTCCTGTGTGCCAGGATTATAGGCATGTGCCACCACACCTAGCCACCCTTGAATATTGATTTCTTCATTTGTAAAAGAGCACAAAGGAAAGACTTCCCTGATGCTTCAGGCTTTGTGAAACTACCTTGTGTGTTTGCCCTTTGTATTGTGCATGACCCTTGAAAAGTGTAAGGAACAGACAACCCTTTCAGTGGAGAGGCTGAGGAGGCTGAGCCACCTCTCAGTGGCAGAACTCTTCTCTTTGTAGGGCCATAGCGATCAGCTTCATGTGTCTGTGGTTCCAGGACAAAATGACGTCACAGCACCTGAGCCTCAAGAAGAGGTAAGGAGACCAGAAATACAGGGAACAGTGTTGGGGGGTGAGACTGGGCCCTGGGTGGACGTGGGACTGGCTGCAAGCTGTAATCCTCACCCTGGGCTCCAAATGCAAAGGGAATCTAGCAGTGAGCAACAAACACCCTTCATGCAAGGTCAGGCGGTGGGAGCAGAACAACCAAGGATGAACTGGAGCTTTGCAGTGTCTTTGTTCCCATTTCCCAATGCTTGGCCTTGCACTCACCTCCCGAGTATTTAATGATCTCTGTGCTTTTTTTTTTTTTTTTTGAGACTGGGCCTCACTATGTAGTTCAGACTAGCCTTGAACTGACTACCCCAGGCTGGACTTGATCCTCTGACCTCAGCCTCCCAAGTCTGGGATTACAGGCATGCGCTACCATGCACGGCTGTACTTATTTTTAAAAGGGGTTAAGTTATACAAAAAGCATACAAAAATATCATTATGTGATATACATAATGTACTTACAGACAACTTAAAAGGGAGTACAGTAACTCAGAAGCATGAGATAGAATGGTGACGTAGAGTGGAGGCATGAGTTAGGCAAGTACAAAAAGTGCTCTCTAAGGACTGGCCAAAATACTGACTCTAGACTTTCGCAACGTCCAAGAAAAAGAGAAACGCCTGATCAGTTAGCCCGGTTCACGGCGCCTGTGCCTTTAGGAGAACAACAGCTGTTGCTACTAAGAGGAGAAGTTTCTCCTGTGAATCTTCAGGAAGAGGCAGATGGTGTTAATGAACAGAATCGGGTACAAGTCCTCACGACAGCCCCAGCACCCTGCTTCATGTTGCGTCCCTCAGCAGAAGCCCCAGTGGCATTACACGGAATACAAGTCAAGAGAAGAAAGTTGAGTTTTTACTCTCAAGCGGTTGGTGGAAAGGCAGATCAGCACCTAATACATCGTGTTTACTTTCTAGGTTTCCACAGATTAAAATGCACGACTCTGCAGAGAGACCGCCAAGACCTCCCCTACACACACCTCCCCAGAGAAGCTTCTCAGCCAGAGGGGATCGCTCCGAGGGTGCAGAATCAGCCTTCCCTCCTGGCCTCTCAGGGGGCACGAGTGCTGGTGGGCTCTAAAGACCTGGCATTAACGGTGGCTGAGGAGCAGCCTTACGGGAGGGCCGGAGGCAGGCAGGCTTGGACAGGAACTATTAAGACTCAGGGAATATTTTAATTCAGGTTTTAGCATTATCAGGAAAATGAGACTTTATATAGTAAAATGGGCCGTAGTGACTATAACAAGCAAAAGTGCCTGTAGACACAAACAGTTACTCACAGAGACAAAACCACACACACTCAGGATCGTGAACAAACATGCTTTTGCCTCACCACTCACTTTGCAGGACTGAGAGCCAAAAGAACATATTTTCAGATTGTTAAATAAAGTACGGTTTTGGCTGTGTCTGGGTCCTTGTTTTGACATAGGGTGTTGCTCCAGCTCACCACACTGTTTTCCACTTAGGTGAGGTTATTGATTCTGCCCCAGGCTTAGAAAGCTTTAGTCAGATCTGTCACACCCAGCTCACCCTACCTCTTTGTTGTAACTTTTATTGTGCTTTTCCTCAATCTAGATATGTTAGTACATAAGTAAATACTGTGAGAAAGGGATTATATTTTAGAGCAGTGTTACAGTCTAGTACTTGCTTAGCTCAAGGGACCTGAGCAGGATGGACTCAGGTAAGAAACTCCAAAGTGAAGGGAAGATACAAAGTATAATATTATAGTGGAAATGGGGTTAAATCTGAAGTTAGAAGTCCTGGATTTGAATCCTACCATTTGCTTTTAGTGAAAATATTGAAAGGTAACGCTGAGATCCTGTCACCTTGATAACTACCAGATGCAAATGCACTTCCATCTTTCGTATGTGTAGAGGTGATTTCACCGTCCACACCATTCTGTAGGAAGGTATTGAGTACCCACATTATGTCAAGCACTAGATACTAAAGAAACAACTTGAAACCAGGTATGGTGGCACACGTACTTGGGAGCCTGAGGCAGGAGGATCACTGTGAGTTGGAGGCTAGCCTAGGCTGCATAGTGAGACCCTGTCTCAAAAAAACCCCCCCCAAATATTAAAAATTTTTTAAAAAGAAACAATTTGAAAAGAAACTAAAGTTTTTTGCTTTTGGGTTTTGTTTTTATTTTTGTTTTTTAGTACTAGAGATTGAACCCAGGGGGCAGAGACTGTGTCCCACTGAGCTACATCCCTGACCCCCATTTTTTTGAATCAGGGTCCAACTAAACTGCTTATGCAGGCCTTGAACTTGTGATCCTCCTCCCTCAGCTGAGGATCTGTGTAGCTGGGTTACAAGTATGGGCCAATACGCCCAGGCAGAAGGTAAGATCTTTAAGGAGGCAGTGGAAGTACTGAGCAGAGAGCAGAGTAGGCAAGATTTAATGATGGGTTGGGAGGCAACATGAACACTGAACATATTATTCGAGGTTAGTCTTGAGAGTGGCATCTGGTGGTGTCATTTCCCAAAACAGTATAGGAGGAAGTGCATTTATGTGGGCCCTCTGGTTGCAAGCAACAAACTGACAAAATTAAGCAATAAAAACATGGGGTCTGGTGCTACATGCCTGTAATCCCAGCACTTGGGAGGCTGAGGGAGAAGGATCGCTGTGGGCTCCAGGCCAGCCTGAACTACATAGCAAGACCCTGTCTCAAAAAAAAAAAGAAAAGAAACCCCAAACGAATAAAGGATGTGTGGGAAGGAGAGTAGGTGACACACAGAACTGACAGAACCACCAAGCTGCAGGAAGGTGAAGAACCAGCCCGAGGAGCCCGACAGGAAAGTAGACTGCTGCTCTGTGTAGCTGGCAGCAGAAGACTTCACTTCAGCTGCCTCCTGCCACTCTGTCCTCTCCAGATCCAGATGCCCTGGAGGAAGAATCTGACAGGCCCGCTCTGCGTGCTGTCTCCATCCTATGGGTAGGGAATGAGGAAGTGTGACCGCACTCCTACAGGATGGGGTGCAGCGTACCACATGATATGCTGGTGTCTGTAATGATGAGCAGTGGTGAGAACGGTAGATTATAAAAACCACAAGACACCTTTTAGGGATGATAGAAATGCTTTTTGTGTTGTCTGAGGTACTTGAAATTGAACCCAGGGCTTTTGCACAGAACTATATCCCCAGAGCCCCACCTCCTTCATTTCTTGCTAAGTCACTCAGTTCTGCAAGCTGTGCTCCAATTTGCAGTCCTCCTGGCCCAGCTTCTCAGAGCACTGGGATTACAGGTGTGCACCACCATGCCCTGCCAGAAATGTTCTTACTTTTTATTGGGGTAATAGTTTAACAGGTAGATACATGTGTCAAAGCTTATCAAATTAGGCACTTTATGTGCGGTCATTATGCATCAATTATGCTTGATTAAGCTATAAAAACAAGCCCTGGGGGTGCCCCACAAGCACTAGATACAAGGAGTTTGAAGCACCTGTAGGATTTTCCAGTAGACATGTCGGCGAAGGAGCTAGAAATACATACTTATACTTGGGGATCAGTTTTCCATTTTATTTTTGTTAAGCATTACATAACACTGCATGCTACATAATATACTGCATCACCATCTAATAAGGGTAGATGATCATAACTTGTTTTTTTCTCATCAATTAAGAAAATGCTGCCAGGTGTGGCGGGGCACACCTATAATCCCAGCACTTGGGAGGCTGAGGCAGGAGGATCGTTGCAAGTTCGAGGCCAGCCTGTGCTACAGAGTGAGTTCAAAGCCAGCCTGAACTGCATAGCAAGACCCTGTCTCAAAAAGAAAAAAAGAAGAAAAGAAAATGCTCCCTTAATGCCAGAGATATGCCTGTCTCTTTCAGTCAGACCCACTGATAGGAATAATGGGCAATCCTTTTTTCCCCTCACCCCCATTGGCAAGTTTATGGGTGCACACAGTGGCCATTCCCCTAGATGAGCAAGCTTGCACTCAGGCTGGTGAATCCAGGGAGAATCTCAAGCAACATCTCAGCTGGTTACCTGGACCAATAACCTCAGGAGTTATTTTTTTAAAAGCTAACCCTAAGCCAGGCATGGTGGCGCACGCCTGTAATCCCAGCACTCAGGAGGCTGAGGCAGGAGGACCATTGTGAGTTCGAGGCCAGCCTGGGCTACAAAGTGAGCTCAAGTTCAGCCTGAACTGCATAGCAAGACCCTGTCTCAAAAAGACAAATAAATAAATAAATAAATAAATAAAAGCTAACCCTAAAAAACAAAGATTAGAAGTTCCATGTGACCCAGCTATTCCCCTTCTGGGTATATTCCCAGAAAAAAATAAAAACATAATACCACAGTGATATATGTGCACCCACATTTATTGTAGCACAATCTGTAATAGCTAAATCTTGGAAACAACCCAAATGCCCATCAACCAAGGATGGATAAAAAGATACGGTCTTTTTATACAGTGGAGTACAACTTAGCCATAAAGGATAAATTAGAGACGTTTATAGGTAAATAGATGCAATTTGAGACCATAGTCATTAAGTGAAATAAATCAGACTCACATGTATAACATCGTATTGTCTCCTTGGTGTGAGAAATTGAAAGAGTGAGTAAATATTGAAAGAGTGAAATAGGAAGAAATTATTCAAAAAGAGGGTGTGTGTTGGGTAGGGGGGGAGGGAAAGGAAGGGAAAAGGAAAAATATATATACACAAGATAGTTATACTACTAATTTTCTCCATTGAAAAGAAAGGTTTAGGGGCTGGGGATTTAGCTCAGCAGCACAGCGCCTGCCTGGCAAGTGTGAGGTCGTGAGTTTGACTGCCGGTACCAGAAACTCCCCCACCCCCAGAAAAGAAAGGTTTGTGCTAATATCTCTTGGAGAATTTTTTTTCTCCTTTTCAAATGTGTTTAATGCTCTTCAAAAGGCAAGAGCTTGTTGGGATGATGGCAGAGGCTGTGCTGGTGACCGAGGGCACCCCACGCCTGCCTCAGGTTCCTTTCCTCCAGGCGTACTTGAAAGGGGCCATGTCCCACCCTTCAAGCCCCATCTCGTGCAGCAGAATGTCATCTTCATTGTGGCCCCACCTCCTCCTCCCACTAAGTCTCCCACAAGCCCAGGGGAAGGAGTGCCCGCAGGCCGGGTCTCACGCTTGGTGCCTGGTGCCAGGTGGGTTATGGCACAGCCTGCAGCTTCTCACTCTTGGGTGGGATGGAGCATATCTTGCAGGGGCCCCCGTCGCCCTCCACTGGGATGTACTTTCATGTCAGGGATGTGCAGGAAGATATTGGGGCCAGCGCCTGCTGGGGTGATGAAGCTGTAGCTCTTGGACTGGCACTTGCACACTCCTTTGTAGACAGGGCCCCGGGAAACCCGCACTGTTGTGGAAAATGTCCTTGTCCGGTGGTTGGGCAGGGGGCTTCTGACCACATTGTCCCACAGCAGAGGTGGGGAGCGCTGTCGTCCTGAGGGGTGTCCTGCAGCACCCCCAAGGCTGATGAGTGAGGACGGTTGTGCGCGTGCTGGTGGGGGAAGCTCAGGTGACACTGCTGACCTGAGGATCCGTTTTGCTCAGCCTGCCACTGGGTTCTAACTTGGAGAATTTTTTATGCCCATATCAGAAACATCATGGCAGCGGGGCATGGTGGAGCAGACATCCTTAGTTCGTGGTGGCCAAGAAGCAGATCAGAGGAAAACCGGACAAGAAGGGGCCAGGGACCATATAATGTACTCAGAGTCACACCGCCTGCATGAGTCTCCCAGCAACACCCAAAAGTGTGTTTTCCTAACCCCCTTGGCAGCTCGCAAACCAGTCAAGTTAACACAATGAAGCTTAATCACCACATCCAGCTATTTGGGAGGCTGAGGCAGGAGGGTTGCAAGTTTGAGACCAACATGGGCAACTTAGCAAGACCCTGACTCAAAAACTCTTTTAAAGGGCTCAAGCTGTAGTGGTACAGTGTCCAGCATGTGTGAGGCCCTGGGTTTAATCCCAGCACTGGGAAGAAGAAAAAGTAACCATTCAAAGAATATACTTTGTATAGCCTACTAGGGAGGAGACTGCATGCCTTTCTAGAGAAGGGTTTTTCAAAATACAAAAATTCTACTGCCTAGTTTTGATACCTCTCCTAGAAAATATTCCCTTCTCAAATAGAAAAATTGGTAACAAAGCTTTTGAAAATAAAGAAGGGAGGAGGGGCTGAAGGGAGAGGAGGGGAATGGGAAAAAAGCAGCAAGACATACCATGTACAAGTACAAATCCCCTGTGATGAATGTTCTCTCTGTGTATATAAAATGTACCAATAAAAGAAAAAGAAAAAGAAAGAAAGAAAGCATTCCCCTCACTTAACACTCAGAATCTCTGCTGGAAATGATGTCCCGGAGTCCTGGAAGGGTATGGAGAATGCTGGGAATGCAGGCCGCCCCCTGCAAGGCCCTCCATCACCTTCGTGGTAAGCCCTTCACAGGGCAAAACCCAGTTCCAGCCTTTTGTGTCGGGGCCGTCCCGACTCCTACCGCCCAGGCAAGAGGCTCTCCCTGGGGAGTGTGCTGGAGACCTGCAGGGACTTACAGTCTGGGAGGGGAGGGCAAACGGTTTACCCTGAGTTACAAAATGGTAAAATCGTCTAGGGCAAAGTCTGGGGCTTAGAAGGCTGCCACCCTGGCAGCAGCGTAAGATGGGGTGGAAAACTAACAAGATTAGGTAGAGCTGAGTACCCATCTCCTGCCCGAGGTCCCTGGAGGCTGCTGACAAAGGATGGCTGCTCCAGTTCCTGAGGCTCAACATTTAATCCCTGGAGAGCACTGAAAGACTACCACATGGGGCTCCATTCATCCCCCCATCTATGCAGCTTTTTATAGCAGGAATTGCAAATGACCACCCAGTCCCTGCCCTCCGGCACTCTGACGGGTGATACTGAGCCTGGGTAAGACAGACACGACATATCCAGGGTAAACACAAACATGACGTGTCCAGAGTACACAGGCTACGCCTTTCTTGGCCGGACTGGCAGTTTCCCCACACAGGAAGTGAGCTGCTTTCTCACTAACAGTGCTTTGCCTTTAAAAACATATAAATAAAGTGAATTTCATCAACTTTTCTTCTCCTCTGGTTTTTATCAACACCTTAGAAATGAAAGCAGTGATTCTTGCTTTACTTACGAGTTTTTCCCTCCCTCATTTAGGCCTCTTTTTTTTTTTTTTCCTTTGGTACCAGGAATCAAACTCAGGACCTCAGGCTTGCCAGGCAAGCGCTTTTGCCGCTGAGCTATTTCCCCGGCCCTATGTCTCTCCTTTTTATTTCCCAGCCTTTACACCCACAACCTGATGCTACCTGTCTTCCTAGAAACCTGTATAAATATCAATTACCCAACCCACAGAACTCAGGAGTAGGAAGCACAGAAGAGGGTGCCACTGGGATGGAAAGGAGAATAACCATAAGAGACCCAACGCCAGGCAGCCAGCATAACAGTAGCTAACATTTACTGAGTACTTACTATGTGCCGGGGAAGGTCCCAACGCTTTCTATGACTCATTCCATCCCCACAGTAATGCTACGGTAGGAGACAGGCACCGCCCTCCGAAGAGAAATGAAACAATTTATCCAGCCCGGGAGTGGTGGAGCCTGTAATCACAGTAGCTTGGGAGGCTGAGACAGGAAGATGGAAAGTTTAAGCCTAGTCTCAAAATAAAGGGTTAGGGTTGTAGCTCAGTGAGAAGGCCTGGTTCAATCCCCAGTACCACAAAAAAAAAAAATTACTTTGTCAAATTTACAAAGCAGAAACAATTCCAGAGGCTGTGTTATATACTGTTACATCCTCTTAGTCACTGAGCTCCCACGGATTAGTTTGGGAACACTTCCTGCCACGAAGTGAGTCAAAGGGTCGCTAAAGTTTGGCTGTGATTAATATTTAAATTGCAATGCTTACCGTGAGCTAGAGCAGTGATTATGGAGTGGCTTTACAGGCATTGTCACTTTTTGTCCCCCACTTTAATGAGGAAACACAAGTGAGGGGTGTTAAGTCATCTGCCCAGAGTGAGCAAGTCAGCAAGCGGTGGAGCCGGACTGTTTGAATCCAAAGTCCACGGCACTCGAGGCTCCACGCTACGCCGCGGAAGGCGAACCGGGAGGGCCCGGGCGGCGCCTCGCGTCTCTCCCACCCCACCTGGCTGCGCCTCCTAGATTCGCTTCGGGGACACAGACCCACGTGCGTAAACGAGCTGCAAATCGCTGGTCTATGTAACTTTCCACATTTGCTACAAATTCAAATTACGTCAACGCGCAGAGGTCCGACGGCCCCGCTGCTGCCCTCTGCAGCCTCCGGGCGAGGAGGAAGCGGCTCCGGATGGAGCGCGCGGGGACAGCCGGCGAAGGGAAGGCAGCCTTTCCTCCCGGGGGAGCGCGGGGACCTGCGCGGGCGGCCGCGCGCTCCTTCCTGCCCCAGCCGCCGGCC